CAAACACAGAGAAGCATTCTTTGTGTTTGAAGCTGTTCCAGAAGTTAAACTGATTTAGAACGGAGTTATTTGTATAGGACAGCAGGTAGCCAGGGCATCAGACAGAACAGATCATTATCCAGGTCATGCCCATTTTTTAGTCATCTCAAATCTTGTGCTTTCCAAGGAAATCAAAGTGAATCACATTGAAAATTTGAGGATTTGTAAAGATAATAGGGCCAAGTACCATCCCTCTTTTCCTGGCAGCTGTAACTGATTCATGATGAATACCAGGCAATGTTCATAACATTAAATCCAGATGTCAGCTAAAATGAAGACAGTGCCAAAGGATGATGGGCTGTATAAAAATATCTATTGCAACTCCCAGTAAAATAACTGTTTAAGAGTTCTCTGACATTAGATTGTGCTGAGCTGAAGTAATTAACTCATGTGTTTGTTGTCACAGGCAATTTGGGTATTGCTGCTTGACTGCTTCTAAGAAGAGGTTTATTTGGATTAAGTTTAGCAACCGCAGAGCAAATTTCCTTCACTTGCTGTTCCCCAGTATTTGAGGCATTGTTTTTTGACCTGTTTTTCAGTAACTTTCTCACACTTACACATCTGAGGAATTTTCTGGAGAATAGCACTGCAGTGTCCCCCACAGCAGGGTTCAACTTTTCAGAGTTGAAATAAGCCCTCTCAGAACAGCCAATGTCATTTTCAATTTAGGCACAGTTTGTCCCCAGTTTACATTAAAAAACGCTCCTCTGGCTTGAGAAGAATTGTGATTAATTACTGGCAGAAACCTGCCATCAGGGAAGTCCTATGCCGTCCTCTGCTGAAGCGAACAACTGATGAACTCCAGTTCAGAAGGGCAGGTCTGGTATTAACAGTCCTCAGATTGTGCCGCGGTCAGCTGACGTCAGTCTGTGTGCGTCTTATGCAAAGACTCCAGCAGCAAATCCCAGTAGGGATTTGATGAAGGTTCACCTCATAAAATGTTCCAATTTGTTACCCCATGTTTGGAGACTAACATTGGGTCTAACATTGTTGATTTATTTACTTATTTATTTGGCATTAGGCTATTTGTGACAAACAAGAAGAGGTAAATCAAAGTAAATTCTGGGGATTATATTATTATTTAAAAAAAAAAAAAAAACTTTGGAAGAGACAGAAAGTAGATTAGTGGTTGGGTAGCATAGTGGCTAAGACACTTGCCTGCTAACCAGACAGCTGGCGGTTCAAACCCACCAGCCACTCCTCGGAAGGAAAGTTGGGCAATCCTACTTCTGTAGTGATACTGTCTCGGAAACCCAAGGAGGGGTCGCTATGAGTCGGGTTTGACTAGACGGCACATAACAACAACAACAACAACAGGGCCAGAGGTAGGAGGGGTCATGGAGAGTGACTGCTAAGCGTGGATGGTTTCTGTATGTGGTGATAGTGACACAACTCCATGGATATACTAAAAAGCTTTGAATTGTGTACTTCAAATGGGTGAATACTATGGTATGTGAATTATATCGCAAAAAAAGCTGTTACCAAAAAAAAAGGAAGAAAAGAAAAAAGACTTTTATGAAGAGAAAGAGATCAAACAGAATTGCAGCACTGAGAACCAAGTAAGGTCACCTGAGCCAAATTTAAGTCCATCCAGGCTTGTTTGTTGCCAGTCAGCCAGTACAAACTCTGTTGGGTGCTATCACTATTGCTGGAGAAATGTGTCTTAGCTATAAGTAGCTCATCCTCTAAAGAGGTCAGCAGCATTTGGAGATGGCCCCATTGGCCACACTTTTTCCCTTCTGGCCAGTATGTGAAGCCAGACTCTGGGCTCTCTTTTTTATGATAGCCAGGATGTCTATTCACCGGGATAGTCAGAACTGTGACTGGAGGGCAGTGAACAATTATTCATGCTTCACAGTGTATCTTTTGTGAGTCAGTGGAATGATTAAAAGTTAAGAAGTTAAGCTGCTTCACACTAAGGATGTGACTTCTGGGCTCCCAACACTTCTTCCCCCATCAGTTTTGGACAAATTGGATTTGTGATTTGGATACAAGCAGGGTTTTTTTCCTTCTTTTTTCTTTATTAGTTTACTCTGGCAAATAGTAATTTAGTGGTTGCAAATCAATGCTAACAAATAACATATGTGAGAGAAAGTAAAAATCGATCATTCCAAAGGGTAAGATAGCCAAGGTCATTGACCTATTTAAAATTAGCAAAGGTTTTAAAATGTGATAATGCCATGGGTAATCAAAGTTTGTTAAAAAGAACATTCTTGTACATTGCTAATGGAAGTGTTAACTGATGGCCTCCCCTATGTTCATCATTTTGTCTCAATAGTTCTATGAATTATCTCAAAGAAATAATTAAGTCACCCACAGAGAATGATCACTTATTCCTGTTGTTGTTGTTGTTATGTGCCGTCAAGTTGTACCCGACTCATAGCAACCCCTCCTTGGGCTTCCAAGGCGGTATCACTATGGAAGTAGATTGCCCAACCTTCCCTCCAGAGTAGCTGGTGGGTTTGAACCACAGCCTTCTGGTTAGCAGTCAAGTGCCTTAGGCACTATGTTACCAGAGCTCCTCACTTATTCCTGGGACATGTGTTGTTGTTATATGCCGTCGAGTCGGCCCCAACTCATAGCGACCCCTCCTTGGGTTTCCGAGGCAGTTATCACTGCGGAAGTAGGATTGCCCAACCTTCCTTCCGAGGAGTGGCTGATGGGTTTGAACCACCAGCCTTCTGGTTAGCAGTCAAGTGCCTTAGGCACTATGCTACCAGAGCTCCACCTGGGACATATCAAATGTTAAATAATTCAACGGTAACTAGACAGTTGAATGTTATGCATAAAAAAACAGTTTTAAAAAAACATTTAGTGGCTGGGAAATAAAGTGTAATGCTAAAATGCTTAGTGAAAAGTATGACAATTTGCAGTATATAGACAATTTTGTGAAAGTACAAGCAGACAGATACAAAGGGCTGGAAGCAGGAATTAATAGTGGTTTTGCTGGGTGATGATCTTGGTTTTTATTAAAGGGGATTTATGATTTTGAAATGTCCTTCAATGAACAGTATTTCTTCTGTATATTTTAAGGCTATTTTTTCAATGATTTTCGTCCAAAGGCTTCCTTAAAAAAGCATTTTCTTTCACTAGAATTGGACACACTGGAAGTTTTGGCTATACATGTTTAACATTCTAACTGAGCAAAGTCTATTTACAGAATGTTAATCCTTGTAATGTAGAAGTGTTGCCTAAATGATACATGGTTTGGGCCGTTTTGAATTATGGCATTGAAACACTGAGATGTTAGAAAGATTGCCTTCAGCTACAAGTAACAGAACTGCCATCTAGAGTGACTTCAAAAATAAGGGGGTTTAAAATTTTTATTTGCATTTAATCCACAGAAGGTGGTTGCTAGTGCTGGTGGTTCCACAACTCAAGACATCAGAACCAATATTTATGTGATTATTATGCTTTTTTTCTCTTGGCTGCAAAATTGCTGCTATAGCCCCAGCTCTAGCCATCACATCCACATTTGAGGCAAAAAAAAAAAAAAGGGAAAGGGAAGGGATTACACCAGCCCAAATAAAAGCTTCCAGCTAACTCCCAACTAGACCTCTTGTGCTCAGTGCTGGTGAGTCTGGGGAAAGAGGAAGTGGCAGTGGAAAAGCTAACTGATGAGGTCCTCTAGGAGGCAGCTAGTTCATAGGGCACTGTGAATAGAACCCATTCCTGTAATTTTGGATACAGTATGTCTGGTGACACAGTATCTGTATAATATATATTCACTACATGAATTCTTTTTTTTTTTTTTTAAGTATCTGCCAAATTCTGTCTTAGAAAAGGGCAAGTAGATATATTGTCTATCGTAGGCCTAATAATTAAAATGAGTTTTCAAAATGCCTAAAAATATTATCCCTCATCATTAACATCCAGAAAAGTAGTCTCATCACAGCTGGAACAGAACAGCTGCCTCTTCAGCAGGGCTTTTTCTTCATCTCTTTTTCTTCCTCACCAATGTAGACGTGCCCCAAGATCATTACTGTCTTTTCTTTTGCATTGTCTTTCCTGCCCTTCTCAAGGAAGGAAATCAAATTAATTCACAAACTGGAAGCACAAAAAGATTTGGTTTCCACACAAGGGCACCTACTGCAAGTAGCAAATCTAAACTCCAGTTTTAATGTTGAAAGCAACAGTTTGGGGAATTTCTTGATCTGCCTTAAGGTCAGGAGAGAATTAGTATTTTTGCTGCTTGTTATTGTGCTCAAGTGCCATAATCTGATACTAATGTCTCACTCTGTTATTTTGTCCTTTTAAATGTGTAATACTGAGTTATATCAACTTCATGTGCCTGAACAAAATGTGCTTGTCAGTGGAGTTTGCCAAGACCCTTAAATGTTTATACTGTTTTTCCATTGTACATGAATTATAAAGTTTGTTTTTTATTTCACTTTTAAATTAGCTTTTTTTCCAACTATCAATAACAAAATTTTTAACATCGCTGCCTTCTTCACTTCCATCCGATACTGTTACTTCTGGACAGTGCTGTGGCAGCATGATAACATACATACCTTTTGAAATAATGTGCTTGCTTAATTCATGTAGATTGCCTCTTCCAGGGGAAACATTTGGTTTAGCACACTGTGCAATACTGGAGGGAACAGTAACAACAGCAGCAGCGACAAAGTGGTAATATGTATGTTATGTTAAAAAACGTTAAGAACAAAATACCACTTGACTAGCTTGAATTTTTTTATTTATAATTTTCAGAATTCCAGTTGTCTTTTATTGCAGAAGTAGAAGAGTTGAAACATGTTAGCAAACCAGCTACAAATCACCAAAGAGACTATCATCAATAACTACCATTGAAATGGAAGAATTTTCAGGATAAGCCCTCACACTCCGACACAAGCCCACACTGTCTTCCTGTCTTCGTTCTCCTTCTTCTCTTTCTTATGTGGCTATGGTAGGTGGGAAGGACACACAAGCACTTAAAAGGAACTGTCTCTGATTCTTTTTAGAGTTCCAAGCTGAAAGGTTATCAGAAAAGAGATGTGAAACTTGGTGGCCTTGGACCTGACTTTGAGTCCATCAGAGACAAAGTGAGTGTGATACACATATTGCATTTTCAGGATGGGCTCCACCCATCTACATTTTAGCAAGACTGAATAAAGATGCTCCCCGCCTCAAGCCAAGTTCTAATTCAAATGTCTCACTCTAAGGAGAGATCCCTCTGAAACAGCATTGATAATAAAGACCCAGACCTTTTTCTATAAAATAAAAATACTTGGCAATGTCATTTTATGTATCCACCTCTTAGTTTTGAAGGCCCGAGCAGAGAAGTGGGACACATGCACATGAAAAGAGATGTGTATATTGTGTGGTTGTTGGTCTTTCCCGATAGAGTTATCTTGATCATTTTAAAGAGTGGCTACAGAGAAGACACTTAGGGTAAGAGTTTCCCAGCCCCTGAAAAGTGCAACACTTTATTCTCTTTCTCTAGTGAAAGGAGATCTTCATTTAATGTGTTTTAACTGCAGTTGCACTCAAGGCATAAAAAGAGAGTATAGTTCAAAGTTGGAAGCAAAAATGAAAATAAATTGGGTAAATGCAACAAAGAAGGGACTGAATGTGATTTAGCCACTGTTAAGGGAACACCGAGTGTGCTATTCAGGGATACTCCTCCTCAGAGCCAGACTGTTTCCAGGAGAAACAATCTCTTAACCATTTCGCTGCAGTCACCTTATGCATGCCAACCCCCCTTTCCTGTGCTGCTGACACAATAGGAGCTCTAGCAGGTCTGTGATTCATTGTACCTTTGCTTCTCTGAACAGATGCAAAAATTAACACAACAAAAGGAATATGCAAAACAAGTTAAGGAGTACAACATGAAGACACTATCCATCCTGTCAAAACCACAAACAGCAAAAACTGAGACAAAACCTGCTATCCCTCGGCAGAAGGTAAGAAGTTCCCATAAAAGCCCACAAGCAGTTCCCAGATTACAAAATAGATCCATCCCCAATTGTGTCTGTAAATGGAATTTGTAGGTAGGTCAGAACAGGTGCATACAGCTCTTAGCGTTACTTTGGTGCAAGAAAAGGCTGGAAGCTTTTTCCATGATTTAAAAGCTGCACATGCAGCAAGTGGAGGTGATTATGATGAAGAATTTGTTGTGAGTAGGTTGTGGGTTGGTTCATTCATTTTAAATTGAGGGCAAATTTACATAACATTAAAGGGCAAGTATGAGTTGTCCAAGTCCATAAATAAAATGTTTGTGACCTGGGGACTCCACTGTTTTTTTTTTTTTTTTCAATCAGAATTAATTCAGAAGGAAACTTTTGTTACTTTATAACAAATTCCCCACATTTTTTGAGCACAAGAGATATTTTAGCTGCTTTATTAGATACTGATGTCATAGTGCCACACACACAAGTGATGTTGTAAGGTTAGCCATTGAAGATCACTGTATTTAATCTTCCTCGTGTTTTCTTCCAAATATAGTATTTTCAGTTTGTCACTCATAAAAGTTAAATAATAAAGTGAGTTCTTAGAAGAAATTAGCAGTACTGACTAACTACAAATTTCATTCTCTACCATTAAACAAATTTTGAGGAAATCAGCACCTTCTTGCTGTTTATTGACTCCTATGTCAAAGAAAAGTTCTTTAGTGTTTCTTTCAAGTTCATTCCTCTCCATTTTCCTAAGAAGGGGTCCCTGGATAATGCAATTGAATAACACACTTGGGTGGTAACCAAAAGGTTGGAGGTTCAATTCCACCTAGAAGCATCTCAGAAGAAAGTCCTGGTGATCTGCTTCCAAAGTATTAGCCATTGAAATCCCCATGGAGCACAGCTCTGCTGAGACACACATGGGGTTGCCAGGAGTTGAGGTCAACCCTACAGAAATTGGTTTCTATCTAAGATAGGTGATTTCATAAAATACAGAATGTTCTGTCTCTCAGATGGCATCCAACCACAAGTTGTGATGTTAATGAAATATATATCATAGAGACACAGAGCTCTGAAGTACAAGCCTCTGCCTCATTCAGTCTATCCAATCCCAGTGAGGATGTGGGACCCTGTGCATGAGGGACAAGTGATCCTTTGATGCTTTTAGGAATTTGTACTTCATGTGCTCTTTCATACCCAACACCCACTGCCATCGAGTCATATCCCACTCATAGCGACCCCCTCCTTGGGCTTCCGAGACAGTATCACTACAGAATTAGATCGCCCAACCTTCCTTCCAAGGAGTGGCTGGTGGGTTTGAACCGCCAGCCTTCTGGTTAGCAGTCAAATGCCTTAGGCATTGTGCTAACCATCATATTTTCTGTTTATTGCCTTTCTTCCTCAGACCTTGAAGACTTCAATCCACTTGATTTGATTGACTTTTTATAGAGCCACTTTTCTTTTTTCCTCCAATCCATGATTTTTTTCATGAAGAGATTCAAGACAGCGAATATAATCAGAAATTCCTGTATACATCACCTATATATACTAGGATGTCTAGAGTTTTTCTATGTTTTGGAGGTTTTCTCCCTCCCAAGAGATCTAAAATACTGTCCATTCCCATTTCAGCTATGAAGAAACTATTATTCAATAACAAAACTGATATAATGGCAGATTTTGAAATTATATTTAGACATCTTGTTTCCATTGTACTCCATTCCATTTTAGAACTGTTATTTAAAAAAAAAAAAAAAAGGACTGTCTTTTTTCAGCATCTAAGTTTCTGTAGATATATTAAAGAAAAGTAGTTTTCAACCACTAATAATTTCTAGAGTTCTAAGAGCCTAAGAACAAGAGTAATTGATGTAATGGAGGCTCAATTTCATATCAACTATAGCAGTGTCTTTGGTTGCAAGCTGTAACAAGTCCTTTTTGGATGGTAAGATCTCTTGCTGCCTCTTTAATAGAAGTTTGGTTTTAATAAGACCACCAAAAACTAAATAGAAAAACACATTAGACAATCTATTTCCAAACACTTGAAAGAAACTCAGTTTTATGAAGAAAACATCCCAGTGATGCAACTGTATGTATTATTCTTTAACTCTTTATTTTTTGTTTTTTTCCTCAGCATACTGTTATGTTACTAATTTATTTTGTTTAAACTATGTGTTATATTACATTATTTGCATTATCCATTTGATTTCTATTTCCATCTATGTCTTAGGTAAATGGTTACAGTAATCCACATTTATATTATCAATAAGCATTCCCTAAAACTAAATTTAAGAAATCCTGGGTTCATATCTAATTTCTAGTAAAATTTTATCTTTATGCTTTTAGGCTTTGGAATATGCTAAAACCATTCCAAAACCGAAATCATCAAATCTGACTGATCAAGGATCAAAGGAAAGAAAAAATCCAGCCTATACTGGAAAGGAAGAAAATTTACCTAAAATCCCACTTCTGGAAATACTGCAGAGCAGACATGAAAGAGAAAAACAGGCTGTGGCTGCTTTCAAAGTCCTTCACATTGTATAGACAGCATATGTAGGAGACCAGACACACTCCTGGAATGGACACAGAGAAGAGAAAGTCCATCTAACGCATCTGCATTAAGAGTGATAACCCAGTGTTATCCTCAAACTGCAGTCCAAGTTTGCTTTGTACAGGATTTAAAATATGGGGCCTTTTTATATGGTGCCATATGTTTACTTTCTAGGAAGAAACAAATTTTAATTGTTTATTTTTAAATCAATTAGAATTGGGGCTGAGTAAAAACCAGAGAATAAATAAAGCCTTTTGGTTTTATATTGTATCTTTTGATTTCTTAAACTATCTCTACTTTTCCTGAACAGAATGAAAACTGTGAAGTTACCTAGAAATAAAATTTACCTACTCAGGTTTCTCTCACCTTCCTGATAAGAAAAGAACATGGAGATTGACTCCTATGTTGTTTCCATTTTACATATACCATCATGTAGTAAAAGCTGCCTATACATGGCTTTCTCTTAAAACTGGAAGCAATTAGAATTGAGAGTCTGGAAAGATAATAAGTGACTGAAGATAAATGAGAGTTATGTGTCAGTGCTATTTGAAAAATATTATCATATATGAGAAGTCAGTTCAGGAAAATAACAGCCCAAACTGGTCCTACAATGTCTTTGTGAAAGAAGAGGAACCCTCAAGGTACACAGTGAAGAGATTTCTATGAGCAAGAGGTAGAAGAACTTTCATTAATTTTTTTCTAAATGATCTTAAATTTGAATTTATTCTGAGAAATAAAATAATGCATATAGAAGCATTCTCCTGTTTTCATATTTAAAAGGATACAGTAAAAATTTTAAATATTCTTTTTCTATTGTTGTGTTGTTATGTGCCATCAAGATGGACTCGACTCATAGGAAGCTGTCCTTGGGTTTCCAAGGTGGTATCACCACCAAAGTAGATTGCCCAACCTTCCTTCTGAGGAGTGGCTGGTGGGTTTGAACCACCAGCCTTCTGGTTAGCAATCAAGTGCCTTAGGCACTATGCTACCAGAGCTCCTCCCTCTTTTCTATTAGAGTATTTTATAAGAATTTAGAGTTTCAAAAGAGTTTACTTGGTCAACTGAAATTTTTCAGAAGAGGAAACAAGTCAAGAAAGCATACATGACTCTGAGGTCAGTCCCTCCTACTTATACAATAACCAGGTCTTAAACCCCCACTCTTGGCAACACCAAAACCCACCCAAACCTACTGCCATTGAGTCGATTCCAACACTCAGTGACCCCCATTGGGTTTCTAAGGCATAGAGCTACTGGTGGGTTTGAATGGCCAACTTTCTGGTTAGCAGTCAAATGCCTTACAACTGCGTCACCAGAGCTCCTTTGCCAACATCAAGGACAGTATTTATTGTAGGAAGAAGCTATTCTATGTGGGAGGGGCAAGGAGCATCTAGTTGTTAGGTACTTCACTTTTGGACCTGAATTTCCATCAAGTTCAATCTTTATAAATATTCATTACTATGTACCTGGTAATTTTTTTTAATATGTACAATCTGACAACTTCAACTTCATTAGTCCAAAGAGGATTTGACACATTTGATAAAGTTGTAAGAGGCAACTCAAAATTTGTATACAGAACAATTCAAACTTAGATGTTGACAAAAAAAAAAAAAAAAAGCTATTCCTCTTTTTTTCCCCAGAACATTTAGAAAATTTTCTGTAATAATTTCTCCCTTGCCCTAAGCATTGCTAAATCATCAGGCACTTTCACGTATGCTATCAAGAACCCACACATCTTAGCTGAAGCAGGTTAAAAAATTCAATAGATGTCAAACACTTCACAGGATTCTTACTCTCAAGGCAAGTCTTTACCATCTAGTACTTAAAACTCAAGAACATAAAAATTCTTTCTACACAAATATTCAAAGTGCCAAGTAGCATCTAAGTAGCATCTAAAATGACTTTGACTAGAGAAATAAAACATATTTGGCAGAATTTTGTGGCTGGAAATCATAGAAGGGGTCAAAATGGGCCTCATTTCAGCCCCAAGTCATTCCACAATGGTAAGAGCCAGCAGAATGTCGCTAAGCAACCATGATACTAAAACAGGGCAGAAATTCTGCAAAAAACAGTGAGTGACAAACACTTTTTTCTCCTTTAAATTGTACTCATGATAACAATATTGGTCTTTTATAGACCCAGGTGGACCAGTGATCAATTTCATAGCATTTCAGTTTCAGATATTCAAGAAGTAACAACAATCTGCCTATTACAAAGCAATGAACTTCAACTTGAATGATATAATGATGGACCAGATGTTATATATGGCATTGAAAACACAGTGCCTGATCTCTATGAACTGCTGCAAATAAAGGGCTTTTAACTCATGTATTCTTTCTTATTATAGCCTCCTTTTATGATATTTTTTCCATCCTAAGTTTCCAACATGAGCATACTCTTAGAGGAAGCTTTGTTACAAGTAACTGAAATTTAATGACAGCTGTCTCCATGATATTGTTTTGTATCATAAGGAGTCTCTTGGGAATTATCCAGAAACCAAGTCAAGAAAAGACAATGTTGAGGAAGAAAATAAAAGGTAAGCCTAGCAAAGGCACCGAAACCTGATGATTCCAATTGGGGCCTTATTATTGGTTAATGAATCATTGTCAAAACATCACAGCAAGCGTGAGCGTGCACTGTCTAGTCTACAGTGAGAAAATGCCTCTTCATCCCAATAGTTATTAGCTGGAAGTTGTTTGAAAACACATCCAGTAATTATAACAACACTGGAGCTAATTGAGAACTTGGAGTTGATAGCAAATAGCTTACAATAGCAGACCAGATAAACTCAGAGGGGATTCTTTTTTTAATTACTTATTGAAAAATAGCAGAAAATGAATTGAATTTTGATGATAGTCTGCAGAAATCAGGTGAAGTTTAGCTAATTCCCTTTCAAGATGTGCTTCAAAACATGTAATATCATTATATTATGAGCAGCATTTGAAGATTTTAAATGAAAAATCAGTTTCTCTCCTAAATATGTCCTTTTTAAAAGACTATCTTTTCCTGGTAGAGCAAGAATAAGTTTTAAATATTATATAGTTCATCCAACTATTAATTATTCATAGGATGACTATAAGATTTTGCCCTCTAATGTTAACTGTGCTTTCGTAACTTCTGTGCATAAAAACAGACAAAATGATATATGAATACTCCATTTGCCTCTTTGGTTGCTTTTCCTGTGAGGAAAGTTCTAAAAACTGTAGCACAAAGTAAAAAATTTCAAATTACTGTGGATTTTTGTTTAGCCACTCTCTTTATATCCCTAATTATAAGGCGTTATCTATACTATTAAGGTGCTCTGGTGGTGTACTGCCTAAGGCATTTGACTACCAACTAGAAGGCTGGCAGTTCAAACCCACCAGCCACTCCTCAAAAGGAAGATTGGGCAATCTACTTCTGTAGAGATACTGCCTCAGAAACCCAAGGAGGGGTCATTATGAGTTGGAAACAACTTGACAGCAATGAGTTTGGTTTTTTTGGTTTTTGATTGAGTAGTGGGTAAGACATTTGGCTGCTAATCAGAAGGTCAGTGGTTCAAACCTACCAGCTGTTCTTTAGGACGAAGATGAGGCAATCTACTCCTATAAAGATTTACAGCCTTGGAAACCCAATAGGGGTCACTATGAATCAGAGTCAACTCAGTGGCAGTGGGTTTGGGTTTTATACTGTTGACAAAACAATATTATATCTGTGTTATATAGGCAAAATAAAGAACTGTGTGTTCTAAAGGAGCCCTGGTGGTGCAGTGGTTAAGCACTCACCTGCTAGCTGAAAGGAAGGCAGTTGGAACCCACGAGACATTTCTCGGGAGAAAGATGAGGCAGTTGGCTTCCAGTTGCCATAAAGATGTACAGCCTTAGAAACCCTATGGGACAGTTCTACTCTGTCCTGTAGGTTTGCTGTGAGTCAGAAGCAACTCAGTGGCAGTGGGTTTGTTTGTTGGTTGCTTGGTTGGTATTTTATGCATTATGTAAATATAAAAATTGTATTTAGATATTTATTCCACTTTTTTAAAAATATACTGAAGTACAGTCCCAAAGTAGCTAAAAATTTCATTCAGAATTGTTCCTTCACCTCACTGCATCCAGACTAAATGCAGTATGTTTCTTCTCCCTCTACTTTCATTATCCTGAATCACGCATCTTTCTCACTAGTGGACTGACAAAACATAAAACATCCCAGGTTCCTAAACGAAGATCTGATCAGTGGAAAGCTAAAGATTGTGAATGGCAGATTTTCATTTATGTATTTATTTTACTCTCTAAATTACTGTCCAGTCTGAAACATTCCCATTCTTCATGTTTATTTGCTTAATTTTGGTCCTGTGAAATAACTTAGGGTGTAGGGATGAGTACCTTCTCAAAATGTTATGAAAACATCACACTGCAAATGCAACGAGATGCAAGATGAATAGATTTTCCAGCTCTTTCTATCCTTCAGTATAGGAGCTCTTTGGGCATTACGAAGAGAAGAAAAAAAAAATGTGGACAGGGTTTATCTCCCTTGCTGCCTCTCCATTGCCTTTTCATTTTCCCATTGCAAACCTGGGCAATGTAAGTAATTAATTTTCAATAAGCTGAATAAGTGGTCTTCCACTATTAAATAGCTCTAACAAGTTGAGAGGATTACAATGATATGAGTATGTCAGGCAAATGTAGTTAGTGAAGCCTGGAAATTGCTCAAAAGATTTATGAATATCCTTTACTGAATCAGCAGGTAGTAGACACCAGCCCCAACAATGGCATTGCTAAACTAGTTTCTCAGGACATCCTCTGTCCCAAGGGTCCCAGGCTTTTGCAAAAGATGTTTCTATAGTAGGTATAGCTATGGTAGGAGCCCTGGTGGTGCAGTAGTTAAACTCTCAGCTGCTAACCAAAAGGTTAGTGGTTTGAACCCACCAGCCACTCTGCAGGAGAAAGATGTGGCAGTCTGCCTGCCTAAAGATTTACCTTATGGGGCAGTTCTCCTGTGTCCTCCAGGGTCCCTGTGAGTG